TTGAAAAACCAATTGGAGGCAGCCAGAAATCATGGCAATTGTTGCGACAATCAATCGTGACTGCGGATGGGATGTCGATGTCAAAATGCCGACAAAAGGGAACGCACGCGCAAAGAATTCGGAGGAAAGGGTCTCGGAGTTCGTAGTCCGTAGTCCGTAGAACTCATTCCCATTCCCATTCCCTTTCCAAATCGGGCTCTAACACATTGCGGATGCTTTTGACGGCGATCGTCGGCACTTGAACCACAAAGAGCACCGATTTGTTGATTTGTTTTGAAAAGTGAGTAAATAAGTATGTTTCCATTTATGAATGTTTGGAGAATGTTGTGTGCGCTTTTGTTCTGTTTGATCAGCAATTTCATTTCGAGTGCGTCGATAAGATGGCCAGGTGCCGATATCGCCCAGATAGTGGCGAGTGCGCTATCAGGGGGAAAAAAGCTGATAAACGCTGATTGGTAAGCACCTCCCACACCTATCACACACACCTTCTCCACCTGCCCGCACCTGAGTTTCCGCTTGAAAATGGTGGCTCTGTTGGTATTTGCCCAAGGATTATGGCAATTTGTAACAAAATCTTTAGTGTTGAAACACAGAACATGGCTCCCCTTGGAGTCGTCGATGGGTTGAAATTCAAAGGCAGGTCCAAGCATACATAAAGGAAATGTTGTGGGAAATATGACATTTTAGAAACTTTAGAATTTATAGATTATAAATATTATAATATATATATATTTTTCTAGGATCTTAATGGGTATTTGTAATACTATTTTAGTGGCTTTTTGTTCTCTATTCAGAGTGAAACCGTATTAAAATTTTGCAAATATATCATATAGCTTATAAATACCTCTTATTCCTTAATTATGATTATTTATTCTGATCTTAGAACTCATATTTAAGAGTACCATCAGCTGAAACTTTACTAGTACTTAATTAAAATGAATTTTGAGTATCAATTAAGCTGCCATCACATCCTAAATATGTTTCCTATATTCCTTAATGATGCCTTACTCTATTATTTAATTAATCATTTATTCTTCAAGTGCATCGTATATACTAACAAAAACAAATTCATTTCAAGCAATTTGCATGGAAGAGTCCTTTTTGTGCTTGTTCCGGTGACTTTATCGTTTATCGTTTTGTGAAAAGGATTTTATTATATTCAAGAGAGCACTATCCTTTTGCTGCTTCGCATGTGTGTGAAGAAGATTTTTCGCCGAGAAATAAAGCCTGCTGTTGCTGCTCCTGGGTGTGTGTGTGTATGTGTGTGTGTGTGTATCAGTGTGTGTGTGTGCCACATACTGAAAAGCGACAATTTCATGTCCAAATGCTTTCCAGGTGACATGAAACAACACTTAAGTAAGAAGCCTTTCGGGGGGTCTGGCAGGTGGAGTTGCCTGCAACTCTGCATGCCACCCCCTCACACACACACACATACACATCAAGGACATACATTAGCAGTTAAATTTGTACACATTTATTAGAGTGTGTGTGTGTGTGGGAACCTGAACGAACGCACCTGGCATCTGCAAAGGAAGAAGGAGCAGCAGATGAGTAATACTCTCTTAACGCCAAAATCTACATTTAAATTGTTTTCAATATAATCTGCATGTCCTGTCCACCGAGTGAAGAATGTTCGAGTTTGTGTCGCACTAAATGAAAACAGAGCTCACCGAGGCTATGGGTGTCCTGGGGATCCTTGGCGACATTTATGGCGACATGTGCCACAATTCGCATATCGAAAATCATTTCGAAAATCACTCACAGGAAATTGAGGGATAGAGGGGTCACTAAGGATTAAATACTGTCCCAAGTTTAAATTTGATTTGTTTTTTTAAATCTTATGTTTTTTATTGGGAAAAAATCCTGTTAAAAGTATCATAAATGGTTTTTTCGTAGGTGATTTAATTTAATATTTATTTATATACCTTAAAAATGAATATAGACAAAGAATGTTTACTCTTTTTCCCTTATTTTCAACTTCAAAACACTACGTTTTCTATTTCAAAAATAAATCCTTGATTTAAGAGCGAGTTTCGACCATGTGCATCCTTGCTAGATCGCTGGCCACTCCCCGATCCTGTGAAGTGGGTTTAGAATTTCGTGGCGCCGTCGAGAGCAACGTCCAGCAAACTGAGTGTAGAATAACCAAAACGATCATGAGCCGGGCACAGGCTGTCACTTTTCCCGAAAATACTTTGCCTCTCAGCTCATTTACATACGAGTGCATTTGTAAGTACCAGAAAAAAAAGAAAAGAAAAATAGGGAAAATTACAAAAGGGACACATGTGCCTCGCTCACATTTATAATAAATGGCACCGCGTTAACACCCCAAAACATCAAAATACTCATTTTACAGAAATTCCCAAAAACGCTCCCCTCTCACTCTCTCTCTATCCGCGAAGCATTAATTAGAACAAGGACTCTCAAGTGGACTCAGCCACGCCCTCGTCCTTGTCTTCGTCCTCGGATCGAATGGAAACGGGAATTGTTTATTTGTTTGTTTTATTTTTCCCCCATTTTCGGTTTCTTGTTACGATTAGCCAGTGCCAATTAGCTGGGAAATTCGGTGGAGGGACCTTGAAATCAAGTCTTTAATATTTTTGAAATGTTTCAAATAGTTTTCTGAAAAATTTCCGTTATTTAGCACTAATTAAAAATATAAAGTCTGACATTTATTGAAGCTTATATTTTAAAGATTTATTTAAAATGTTATCTCAAGGGCAAAAAATGTTTTCTTTTCTCTTTATATTATTGTTAATTTATGTATTTGTCTTACAAACACTTGAACAAATTGTATTTGATGTTCTGAGTTGTCTGTATTTTTGTTTTCTGAAAATCAAAAACATTTTCAACATGTGTAATTTAATTATATTAATTTTTTTGCATTTTCCATAAGAAAATACATATTTTTAACAAATAATTATTAATAAAATATGGTGTTTTTGTGATAAATGGAAATGAACTATAATATCTTTATATTTTAAAGCTTAAAAAAATGTATGTTGAATTGAATTATAAACAATTTTATATTAAGAGAGTTATAAAGTCATAAAAATTTTATTAGAAAAAACAAATAAATAAACATAATATTACAAATGTGCTAAGTTAAATTAAATAATTTAGAAATTTTTCTTTTTTATATTTATATATTATTACTAACATATGTTTTCAGTATTACTTATTATTAGGTTTATTAATTAAATGATATTATCCCATTTTATCCAGTTTCTCACATACCAAATCTTGTGTAATTCCCTAGTTATTTTCCCAATTATTTTCTTTTTGTTATCAATATCGGAAAATTCTTGGCCAACTTTGGTTATAGAATCCAATTGGGAAGGAAGCCTTTCGATCGTGGTCCGCCATCAAATCGCTTCCAATGCCACACGAGAGACAGAGGGGAACGACGACAGAGAGAGAGAAAGAGCGACCAACTTTCCAGTGCCGGGAGGTGGGCGTTCTCAATTGCCCCAGTGAGCGCAGCCCATCTCTCTCGCTCACCACCTCTTCCAGTGTGAGTAAGCGCAATGGCAGCATTCAGTCTGATTGGAATGATTGCCAACCAGAGCACTTTCCCATAGGTAAGAAGAGTACGTTCAGGTGCTGTCTCTCTCTAACTGCTATGGGACTCTCTCTGGTCGCATACAACGGCGCTGCTGCCACAAAACAATTTCTTTCTCTCTCGCTCTCCCTTGCTCTTATGCTTTTCAGTGCGAAAGAGAAACCCCTCATTCTGTCGAGCAATTCCTCTGCCGACGTCCACGTCAATGTTTCGGCTGCATATGGTTCCATGAGCCAAATTCTGTTACTCTACAGTTCGATTCCCTAAGCAAAACTCTGTTAGTCGTCAAACATGTATGAATGAGTGTATGAATGCTGGAATGGCTGGAAAAATCGTACCTCTATATAGATGCTCATTCATTGGTTGCTTGTTGTTCCGAAACGCGAATAGGTGCGCATCTTCGCATCTCTGCCGTCGCGTCGTCGCTTGAGTGTCGAAAAAAAAGGCAGGCCGAGAAACGAGTCACAGTCGAAGTCGCAGTCACCGTCGCAGTCACTGGCGGCCGTGTCACCGTCCGTTCGTTCCGTTGAGATCCCGCTGACACGTTGCGGAACCCGTTTTACTATAGCGTCGCCAGCGAAACGGATCGGCAGATGCAATCGCCGTAAAATAACAAAAAAGTGCGTGCAATAATTGAAAAAATTCAAGTAAAAAGACACAAAATTCAAAGCTAAAACTGGGAAAAAGTGTCCCCAAACCGGAAATGGGGAAACCCTAACTCTAAATCGAAAATAAAATCCAAAACCTCACGACAAAAATTGGTATAGTGAACACTTGAAAGCAGAAAACTAAGAAATTGTTCTCAAAATAATGGCTAAAGTTAAGAAATACAAAGATCCTATATAAATAATAAATGTTTTCTAAACAAAAACTAGAAAAACTTTAAAAAAGGGATTTAGTTTGAAAAGACTGCTTATAAAATTATAGTTTAAGGTCAAAATAAACAAATTAAAAAAAAAGAAATATACATACATAAAACTTAAGAGTTTAACTCAAAAGAGTTTGGTTTTGTAAAATCCAGAAAACAGTAAATACATAACAAAGTTAAAATCCCAAATCAGGACTTAATCCAAGGGAATTCCCTTACAAAAAAAGCAAACAATTAAGTCTTCAAACTGAAGCCGCGAACATTTGTACTTGGAGCGTAAATCTGTTTGCGGCCCAAACACTTGAAGCCATCGGGGTTTCTTTTTCAAAAAGAGTCAGAGTCAATACAACAAAAACAGCAAATGAAGTAAAAAGGTATAAACGAATAATAAAAAAGATCACCAAAGTCACACAAAACAAACAAAACATTTTCCGGCTCCGGCGACATTAACAGAACTGCTCGACATCGACAATTTGTTTTATCAATTTTCAACAAGGCCAACAGCAAGAGCAACGGCAACAGCAACAACAACAAACATCAGCAACAAACAACAAGCAACAACAACAACAATAAGAGCAACACCCAACACAAGCCAGGAAAACAACAAAAGCGCCCAAAGTGCTTAGCCGTCGAGCACGCACGCCGAAAGCCACCCACACGACCTCCCTTAACTCCCACAACCCAGCGCAGTTGCCACCCTCCCCCCAAAAGCTTGTCGTCAAGCCCACAGCCACCCACCCCTCCAACCCCTTTTGGTTCAAGGGCTCCGTCAGCAGCATCCCACATCCTGGGACACCCCACAGTGAAACCCCGCATTGAGTGAATCCGCGTTTAAATTTAATCCACAAAAGCCAGTGAGTTGGCGGGCACAACAATGGCTGCATATGCGCAGTTTGGATACGCTGGCTACCCGACGGCAAATCAGGTGAGTTTACCTTTTTAAAGCTGAACAATTTTGTATATGTAAATCATTTATTTTTATTTGGCGAAACTCGCTAAGCCTTAGGTTTAATTCATTGTTTAGTTTTTTTCTTTCTTTTTTTAGAGATGTAAACGATTAGTTTTTATGCGATTTGGTTTTGAGAATCAAATGAAATTTGAGATAATTCATTCAGGAAAGGGTTACTCGAAAGTTTTGTTGGTATAAAATTAAGAAACCAAAAGTAGTTTTATATTTTTAAAGCTTCGGTTTTGGTTTCTCAGATATGTAAAAATATCAATTGTGAAGTTTTTAGAGTAAAGATATAAAACCATTTTTTTACACATTTTTTCAAGTTTTATTACATTATTTTACACTAAAGATTAAACATTTTCAAACAAGGTTTCTCTGCTTTGAAAGTTTAACACTTAGAAGTCTTGAAGAAGATGTAATATCAGAAATTGAACTTGAAAATCTTTAAATACATATAGAAATTGTTTTCAGGACTATAAAAATGATTTTTTATTGGTCAAATAAATCTTCTTAAAATATAGAAAGTTTATGTATATAAACAAGTCTTAAAGTCTTGAAGATTTTATAAAAGAAATCGAATAATAACTTATTTAAACATATGTAAAATTACTTTAACTACTATAAAAATACAGTGTTTTAAATTAAACCTTCTTTTAATTTAAATTATGAATTCATACAAAAATGTTTTCACAAAGAGGTATCAAAGTTATTTATACAACTTTATTAATATTATCAGCACGGCAAACAATAAAGTCATTTTTCCACCTGTAAATAATACCCAATTTTCAAAGTACACCTCAAAAGCAAGTTCATAAAGTTCAAATTATAAAAAAAAACAATCAAATTAATGCATTTATAAAATATTGCTACTGCTTGGCAATAAATTTTAACACGTATTTGATTGAAACGCCGCCAAGTGAAATTTATTTGTTTGTTTTTTCATATTACTAAAATATAAATATATTTATTTATTTTATTTTGATTTACAATTCTGTCATTTAAATATTTCAAAAGCACAATTTATTGAGGCCAGTTTTTAGTTGAAAATAAATATTATTTTGGCACACAACGGGAACACGAATGTGACCAAAGAAATTCAGTGAGTCAGTCGAGGTTTTGGCATGTGCGAAGGAAATCTTTAATGCTGTCGAGGAAATTTAACTTTAAATTTACATTTTCCTGGGGCTGTGGCTGGGGGCGACACATGAATATTCAGGCGATGGCTTCTGCTCCTGGATCCGCATCCATATCCATAATGGCCGCTTGGCTCCCCCGCTGCCACCAAGAAATGTTTCACAATTTAGGACAGCCGTCGCCACCGTCGCCGCCTTGGATGCACCTCGCTCCTCCTCCTCCTTCTGCTCCCTCTTTGATGCCAAAGTCTGGTCATAATTACCCGGTATTCCGGGCTCAGTAATTCAAATTAGTTTGGCCAGAAAGGGAGAGAGAGTTGGGCCGAAACACTTGCCACTGCACTACAAAGGGCCTGTGTAATGCCTTGTTCAACGTCCACTATGTGGTCTAATGCGTCAATGCTAGACTTGTGCGTTTATCCTGCAGCCAATACACATGCCCCTCAATATATGCATATTCATATATATACATAAATATATCAGACCACGATGGCCGGCATAAATTTATGCTAATGAAGCCGGCTGAGTGGTGGACCATTTATTATAATACTCGTACGCAAACTTGGTAAATTACAATAATTAAAATAATGAACGTTCAGATTATCGACTATAATTATGGCCGCCAGCCTGAAGCCTGAAAATGTGTAAAGCCTGTGCATCAGGATCGATTAAAAGCCTCCTGGATTTTGTCATCGTTTTAACTCATTTGCATTCCCGCCCAGAGTCCGGTGTCCAGGAAGTCATTCAGTTTAGTTTTAGCCACTAAGCCCAATTAAAGACCTGGTCCTTAGGTAGATGCTATCGAGGGGCCATCGACTTGCTGCCAAAATTTATAAACCCGACAAATATTAATGCAGTGCACATCGAATTCATTAATTTAATTTTAATTTCAACGCCAAGACGGCATTCCAAAAATGACACAAAAAGCGTCCACGCATGCAATATGAGTGTGTATATATATGAATTTAATCAACGGCTGACGGCTGACTAAGGGACTTGAGGAGGAGCTCATCGGGAATTCTTGACTTCCCATGTGAGCTGTTCACGCATTTCATGGCGAAATAACTAAAATTCTAAGGCCGCAGCAAAAAGCATCGCAAGGAGCGTCGATGTCGCGACGCCGGCAACGAGTCCTGTCCCGGATGGGATACCAGCAAGTCCTATAAGGCAGCAGCTTGGCGACAGCGAGAAAAAACTAATATTTCGCCGTGTGCATTCCATAATTGATTTATGAATTTTTAATGCAAACATTGAGACCGCAGTTGGGAAAGAGTTGTTCCGCCGGTCGAACTTAATTCAATAAACGAGGAGCATAGCACAGCAAAAAACCAAAAGCAACTTATTCGCATTAGCAAAAACGCACTAAAGGGCTGTCCTGCACAGAGAGAAAAATGTGTATTTTGTGGTTAAAAACACTCGGATATATGTACAACATTTTGAGAAGTTTTGGGGTGATTTTACTTGCAGGGATATTAGTTTTATTAGATTAATATATAACTTAGATGGCATTAGTTTGCAAGGTTCCAAAATGTCACCTATTTTGTAGGCCTTGAATTTCTTTTTAACTAATTTTTTATTTGACGATTTCCCTAAAATTTAATATGAGAAATGGTAAATAATTTTGATTCAGTAATTAAGAGAAATCGTGAAATTTGCTTACTTGTAAAAGTGGGATACTTCTTACAGCGATTAAGAGTATCTTTAAGCTATGTAATGCAAATTTATTCATGGGAACAATATTATTTTACGATTTAAAATTATTTCTTGATGAACTTCGCTGAAAATGCCTAAACATAGTCTTACAAATATTAAATCATTATAATAAAGACCTAAAAATCACATTTAAAGTACAAATAGCTTAATACCTTTAGATACTTTTGAGGAATTCAAAGCTATACCCATTTTCTCTCTGTATCCCTTTAAGAATGGGGGGTTTTCTGTATGAATATGGCGTACTCGTTTGGCAGCGCAATCCTGCGGATGAATGTGAGAATATGCCAAAACCAAATCCAAAGAGGCACAGTCGCCTTCCGAGGAGCAGGGAGGAGGTGCCTCCGAATGCGATTCCAATTGCGACTGGGACTGGCGACGGCAAACATGTGTTTGTTTGTAGAGGGACTTGGTCTCCTGGCAGCTTCTCCTGGTTCTGGCTCCTGGCTTTTGGGCTTGCTCGTCTGGGATCCTCGCATTTTCGCTTATTGTTCCGGAGCTGGCGTCAAGAGCCCACTCTCCTGCACCCAAAGACCCATCCCAGCCAGGAGGAGCACCAATCGCCTTTTGTTTCCTTCCCGGTCGTTGTTAGGAGTGCAAAAACAAAAATCCATAAACGCATCCCAGCGGTAGCAGCAATAACAAAAACAACAAAAACTACATCAAAACGGCAGCAAAACCAATAACCACAACAGCAACAACAACAAGAAGAGGATATAGTACAATGCAGCAGAAAATGTTCCGGCACCGATCTCCTTTGTCTTTGCCTTCGATATATGTGTACTAACTGCACTGAGGAAAATATGTGAAAATAATGAAAATGAAAGTGAAATTTACAAATTTTTAAGGGGTTAAAGTTTTATATTATAACTCACATTATATCTAAAAAGATTCAATAAGTTTAAATGATATGGAAATCAGGAAAATGTTTAGTAAACGCATTTAAAGGCTTTTTTTACTTGTAACAATCGGAATTTATATTAAGTACGCTATCTAGAAATCAAAATATTTGAAAAAGCAATATTCATTTCTAAAATAAATGTATTATCTTTGATTTTAATAATTTGAAAGACAGTAAACTTATTATTTCTTTATAAAATTATTTTCTTCTCTGATACATTCATAAATAAGGAATATACCTTTCCGTTTTCTATATTATAAAATGGATTAAGATAGAGGCTATTCTGTTATACATAACGATCTTAATTATATTATTATATATATTTCCATTATCATTTCATTTACATTATTTAAGGTTAATATTAATTTGTACAGTGCATATAACCATACTCGTGCATCGGTGAAACAAGGTATATGGTAGGCATTTGGTAGGCGGTTTCGTGAGCTTTAACATAAATCATAAAATTAATAACCGTAAAGTGACGGCACCAGTTTTCCCAACATCTTGGCCTCCAATGGGTGCGGGTGGCCATCTGTGCCCCACCAGACTCCCAATCCCAATCCAAGTCCGCATCTGCATCTGGATATGGGCACTTCAAAGGCAGAAAGATAGAGATTTACATGATGTCCATGCCGGCTCAACCGAATTACGGTCAATGAATATTCGCTTTTTCTCCTTGTTTCATTTAGTTTTAGGGTTTTCTTTTCTGAGACTTGTCCAGCTGTTTAGCAGATTTGATGTATTTGTTGCAAGGTTGATTTGCCTCTTTGAACTCTGGTCATGCCGCATTAAAATCAGACTCGTATTATCCAATTGAGTGAGTTCTTTGCCCTTCAGAGGTTTTTCATAGTTTGCTATAAGTGGAAAACATAGTCAAGCTTCATTGCAAATTGTTGCACTTTTTACAGGTCTCTGACATTGCTTTGAAAATTAATTATGTCATTAAAGTTAAATGCTTGCTAAATGCTTACCTTAAATATTAAAGAAAGGACAAGCTTTTACTTTGTACAAATGAATTATTTCATTAATAAGGTTCAGCTTTGCTTATATTATTTGTAATGATGTTTCCTTTACAATTTAAATAATACTTCATTCTGTTGACAGATTTATGACCAACAATATAAAGCATTTATCACATTTTATGGCTCTGCTAAAAATTACCAGAAAAAACATGTAGTCTGTATATTATTTTATCGGGGTTAAAAGATTTATTAAACCCAAATAAAAATCAGAAAGGCTTGAACCCTTTAACCCTAAGTAAATGTTTTAATACGCAGTCTTTAAAGACCTTTAAGTCCCTTAAATCCTTCATAATATAAATATTTCTTAGAATTGCTGCGTAACGAAGAAAGTTTCCATTTAAAAATGTCAAGCAAATGAAAAGTGTCCTTCAGCATAACGATTAAGTTGGCTAAAGATGAAGATAGCACCCGCAACCCCAAGTGTGAATATAAAATATTCCCTTTGTGGCAAATGGCAAGTCCGTGAAGAATATTCCCTTTTTATTAAACTTGCCGCAATTTGACACCGCCTGCGAGCTGTCCGAAAAAGTCATAAAAGAGCGCACAACTTTAAGACAACATTTAGGAGCTGCCAACAAGTTTCAGCATTTCCGCGGAATAGAAACCCAAACCCAAGCCCAAACCCTGGAGTCTCCTCCTGTCCTGGTCGGAGGAGTGTGGCCATGTGGCTTATCCTATCTGCAGTCACCTTGCGATAAACTCGGCGGCAGGGCGCTCTTCGCTGCACTTCCTGCGATTTTTCAACAGAGTGGGTGAGTGGGAACCATTAAAAATAAACTGACTTGCGTGCCGATAATAAGCACTGTTTCCCTGGCTGCCGTTCCCCCAGCCTTTGTCCCAACCTGACCAGCCAAGCCAGTTCAGTTTGGTCCAAGTCCAGGTCCAGGTTCAGGTCCAGCTCCACGTCCAGCCGTCTTCGTCGTCGTCGTCGTCGTCGCCGATATGTGTTTTTTATGGGCGGCCACAAAAACTGAAATTGATGTTCGAATCGCATAAAAAATAAAGAATAATAAGAAATGAGCGCGCTCAGCGTTTTGTACATTAGTGGAGACAGTCGGTGGACTCCTCTGGGGCACCACTTCCACTGCGACCATTCATTCAGAATTCATTAGATTTCATTCATGAAACACCTTAATTATGCAACAATTTTCCTGCCTGCCCGGTGGCTTGAGTCTTTCTCTTTTTTTTTCTTGGTTTTTGGCGTTGGCGCGAAATTGCCCCTCGATTAGATAGCCAGCCAGGAGGTGTTGGCGAATCAGCTCGTTTAGCCACGAATTACCATTATTATTTAAATCGGGGATGTGCAGTAGCCATTGAAGGCGGAGAAATGGTAGCAATTGCACCTTATTATTATTGTAAATCCGATTTTGAAGCGCGTGAAGTGAACTTGACTGACAGATCATCATTTGGTTCGACCTTCTATTTACACTTTTGGCTTGCCAATCGATTCGGGCAATCTCCAAATCAAGAGGTTCTCAAAGGTTTATTTGGGTTTCGAATTGGGTTCGGGGATGGAGGAGGGAGTGAGATTTTGGATGATCCTACCTGCGTCCCTCATCATTTGATGCCGTGCCCATACCCATACTCGATCGATCGGTCCACTGATACTCACGGGCCGAGCACAGAACCCTCTTCAAAGATCCCCGATCCTCAGGACCGAACCCCGATCTCCCTGATCCCTGATCCCGGGGTTCGAGACCGAGAACGAAGCGGAGCGGTATCTCAAATCTGACTGTGATAAATTGAAAATTAATGAAGTGAAAATAGATGGAACGGATCGCAAAATGCGCCAGGCCAATAAAATATTTTGACATTTGGAGTTATCATCTTAATCTGCTTTGTTGATTTCGACCTGGTCGGCAGGGACATGCCTTTGCGCTTACCTCTCTCTCTCTCTCTCTCTCTCTCCGGCGGCCCTTGAGCCCAAGTTCCTTCTTTTATTTTATTTTATATTATTTTATTTTAGTTTATTTTTGGTTGGTCTTTTGGTCCTGCAAACTTCACCTGTTCGTGCACTGTGGGAAATTTGGATTGAGTCAAGGAATATCTAATTCTAAGTTGACATATATTCTGTTTGAAAATAACGAGAGTGTTTTTGTTAACCTCTTGAAGTTCCTTTTGGTTTTCTGGTCAGAAAAGGATACAGATCACACCCCTTAAAGTAAAGATCTAAAAGCTTTTTCTATCCTTAAAATACATAGTTATTCAGCTATTTAATATAAGATCAAAGATTTCAAAGACCCTTAAAGTAAAGAACCATTAGCTTTGCCTATTCTTAAAATACATAGTTATTCAGCTATTTAATATTAGATCAAAGATTTCAAATATTTACCAGATTTAACACACAAAAAATATGAATTCAAGGCTTTATTTGTAACTATAAGTAATAAAACATTAAGTTAAACCAGTAAGTAACTTCTTCTTGAGAGGAAATACATAGAGAAAACTTTATACCAATATAATCCTCTCAGTGTAAACAAGGTTTCGGGTCCAAGGCACTGTATTGTATTTTGGGTTTTTGCTGAAATGTGCTCTTTTACTTACCGCTGGCATCTCTCTCCTGGCATCTCCTTGCAGCTGACGACCGCCAATACAGACAGCCAGAGCGGTCATGGCGGCGGCTCACCTCTGTCCGGGACGAACGAGGCCTCGCTGAGTCCCTCGGGCGGCTCGACGGCCACCGGCCTGACCGTCGGCCCTTTGAGTCCAGGTGCCGTCTCCCAGTCCTCGCACCATGCGGGTCACAAGGGTCTGTCCACATCGCCGGTGGAGGATGCCGTGGTCGGTGGTGCCGAGGTGCCCGGCGGCCTGTCATCTGCCGCCGCTGCTGCCCAGGACATACCCGGCGGTCGTGGGGGATCCTGCTGCGAGAACGGAAGACCCATTATCACGGACCCGGTGTCCGGTCAGACGGTATGCTCCTGTCAGTATGATCCTGCCCGGCTGGCCATTGGTGGGTACTCACGGATGGCCCTGCCCTCCGCTGGCGTGGGTGTCTACGGCGGGCCGTATCCCTCCAATGACCAGAACCCCTATCCCAGCATCGGAGTGGACAACTCGGCGTTCTACGCACCTCTGGTAAGGATGGGGCACGGTGGGGAGGAGCTGCTAATTGGCTTTGTTCAGTCAGCGGAAGTCCGCGCAAATGCAGGTCGACAGCCGGAGCAGATATCAGCTCGTTAGGCTGGCAAGCAGTAACTTGTAACTGCCACGATTACCTGCGGGGCTCCGGGACTTACACGCTGAGGGATCTGCCACTAATTCGCCATTCCAATTGCAGAGCAATCCCTATGGCATCAAGGACACCAGTCCCAGCACCGAGATGAGCGCCTGGACCTCGGCGAGTTTGCAGTCAACCACCGGATACTATTCCTACGACCCCACGCTGGCGGCCTACGGGTGAGCATTTCAGAATTAAGACATTTGGCTTAGCATTAAGCTCAGGGGAAAAGGAGAGTACAGTGAGGCTAGGCTTAAGGAAATTGTTAAATCAACACTAATATAGAACGTTTTAGAGAATTTAAATCAATTCAAAATCGTATCTAAAGGAGCGTAAGGAATTGTTTATAGTTTCTGAGATATATTTAAACCTTAAAGTAAGTTTTTTATAGCTTGCTTTAATGGGTGTTTCATTGCATAAATAATTTGTATTAAATATAAACTTTAAGCTCAAGAAATAGTTCCAAAAGTTCCGCCCAATGAAGCCGCACTGTACAAATATACAAATGGGAAACTTAAGTGGGCTTAAAATGTTGCCATGGGACAAAAACTTTCTCGTCGTGTCGTCTGCCGGGTTTCTTTTTATTTATCGCTTAAAAGGGTATGTCTGGCTTAGAGTTTGGGCCCCGAAGCGCGGTTCTGGCTGAAACAGAATACCATTTTGCCATTTAACCATTGTTACATACCATCTACTGTTGACCTAGACGAGAGGAAGTTGCAAATGCATTCCGCTCCCCCGATTCTCGATCCTTATCAGCGGCCAATAACTGATTATTAAAGGTTTAAAGTTTAAAGGTGTGCGTTCTATTTACCTGAAAAAAAGCTGATAATAGCTGGCCGGAAAATATGTAGTTGCGGCAAGCAAACTCATTAGTGGCCCTGATAGGGCGTAGCATTTTGTTGATTCAAGCTGTTTGATTTCTGACCCACAGATACGGACCCAACTATGATCTCGCCGCCCGGCGGAAGAACGCCACCCGCGAGTCCACGGCCACGCTGAAGGCCTGGCTGAGTGAGCACAAGAAGAATCCGTATCCCACGAAGGGCGAGAAGATCATGCTGGCCATCATCACCAAGATGACACTGACCCAGGTCTCCACGTGGTTCGCCAATGCCCGGCGGCGTCTGAAAAAGGAGAACAAGATGACCTGGGAACCGAAGAATAAGACCGAGGACGATGACGATGGCCTCATGTCCGACGACGAGAAGGAGAAGGATCCGGGTGATGGTGGGAAGCTGGCCAGTGAAGCCTTCGGTGAGTTTTTAGTCCCTTACTTCCCTCCCTCACTTCCTGACCGCAATTAGTAGTCCTCGACGAGATCTCTTTGTAATTTCTTGAGCCCCCGAATATTGTTTTCCAAACGCCTTGCCCCATTGATTCGTCGCTCGGCTTGGCAGACCCGCCTCCTCAGCAGATTTGTGGCACTGGGCTTTTAAGTACAATTTATGTGGCGAGGCGAATGTTATGCAACATTCGTCTGCACGCCGTCCAACTTCAGTCCGGAGTCCAGAGTCCGTCGCCCAGAGTCCGTCGTCCGTTTATTTGTCTGACTGCTTAGGCGACATCCTCCCCGGAAGTTGACAGCACATTGTTGGCAAAGTGGCCTTGCGCCCGCACTCCGATTCTTATTTAAGCACAGGGAGAAAAAATGTAGAGAGTGTAGTATTTGAAACATAAAGAATTACATTAATTGGGGTATCTTTGTTCATTCAAAATGTTTACAAATTTGTTATACAAAGGGAATTGTAAGAAGTTATATTTAAAGGTAAAGAATATCTAGAGGAATATTTAGAGATATCTTATCAGTCTTATATTTTGGAAATTGTCTATTGATTATATCTAGAAAATTATGACTAAACTTTAAATTTATCTAAAGTTGGATAGACTTATTATTTAGACTAAATATCTATACAATTTCAGATCAATTTAAATTATGAAAATGAAAGCAAAACTTGTCTGCCTTCTTATAAAAATGTATACCATTTGTTTTTATGTTCATCATTTTCTGGAACTTGACATATTAAATGTATAAAGCGAGAAAATTAACTTTCTTTTAATTGATCTAATGACTTATAATTATAATTATTTGTCTTAAGAATAAGACAGTGCAAGCACCTTAAAGGAAAATATAAAGACACGATGCTTTTATTTATTTAAGTATTAAGCATTTTAAACATATCAAACTTCAATTACAAGTTTAGAATTTAAAGAATATTTTCTATGAACAACTTTAAAAATTAAAATCCTAATTACTGTCATTTGTGGTTATAAATTTGTAAAGTAAATGTGTACACTAAGTAAAATTTTAATGTAGTTAAAGGAGATGCATAGCACATTTAAGCTCCCATATTTTCTCTCCGTGCATTTCGACTCCAAAGTGGCCTTGTTCGAGTTGGCGACACATAGAATTCTAGAGAACCAAGAGGGGGATCCGGGGACGGGGTGGTGGAACTTGGGGCGGTAGTTGGCGGAAACTCGAGTATTTTGCTGCTGAAAGCTTTCTCCGCTGGCTGCCGAGGAGGGTTGCACGCATCAACGCCCACCAACAATTTCAAGGGTTTTTGCCTTCGCCAGTGGCTGCCAGCTGCCAAGTTCCACCTCCTGGAAGTGCCAAGTTTTGCAGTTCTCTAAGAACTTGTCTGCTTCCTGCCTGCGACTCGAAATTAATTAAATTTATTTTGTGTCTCCACACGGTCTCTTTCTCTTCGACTTCTAATCTCCAGATCCGGGCAGTCAACTCATCAAATCCGAGCTGGGAAAGTCGGAGAAGGAGTCGGAGAGTGTTGACCAGAAGCTGGACCTGGAACGGGAGCCGCACAATCTGGTGGCCATGCGGGGCCTGGCTCCGTATGCGACTCCACCCGGCGCCCATCCCATGCATGCGGCCTACAGTTCGTATACGCAATCCCATAACACGCATACGCACCCCAATCCCCATCCGCACTCGCATCCTCACGCCCAGCAGCTGCAACTCCATCAGCAGCAGCAGCAGCAGCAACATCAGCAACAGCACCAGCAACAGCACCAGCAGCTCCAGCAACAGCAGCAGCTCCATCAGCAGCCACTGGAGCAGCCATACTACCATCCTGGATACGGCCAGGATGCGGAGTCGGCGGGGGACTTTGCGGCCCAAAAAAACCCGCTGAGCAGAGACTGTGGCATCCCAGTTCCGGCGAGCAAGCCCAAGATCTGGAGCGTGGCCGACACAGCCGCCTGCAAGACGCCGCCGCCCACCGCGGCGTATCTCGGCCAGAACTTCTATCCGCCGGCGGAGCAGCTGCACCACCACACCAGCCACAGCCAGCACCACCACCACCACCAGCAGCAACATCCTCAACAGCAGCAGCAGCAGCAGCCGCAACTCCACTCGATGGAGCTCGGTTCGCCGCTGAGTATGATGAGCAGCTACGCCGGCGGATCGCCATATTCGCGGATACCTACGGCGTACACCGAGGCCATGGGCATGCATCTGCCCACCAGCAGCAGCAGCCATTCCGGGAGCAGCAGCAGCTCCTCCTCCGGCAAGGTGGCGCCCATCCCTATCAGCGTCCATCCCCGTCCGGTGGGGTTTCCCGAGATCCAGCCCGATACGCCGCCCCAGACGCCGCCCACTATGAAGCTGGGGGGCGGCGGCCACAACAGCAGCAGCGGGAGCAGCAGCAGCAGCAGCAGTCACAGCCACAGTTCCTCGATCCATTCCGCTGCTCCGGTGACGGTGGCTTCCATGGTCAACATTTTGTACAGTAACGAGGCGGCGGCAGCAGCAGCAGCGGCGGCGGCGGCGGGCTATGGTCATGTCCATGGTCATGGGGTGGGGCATGGCGCCTACCTAACGGAGGGACGTTCCGGGTCGTAAACCCACTAGACCGTGGACCGTGGACCGTGGACCAGTTACCAGATACCAAATACAACAAAAAAGCGAAACTACTTACACATTTCGATGGCGGGACAAGTGCAACTAGACGACTACGATTACGATTACGATTACCAAGATAGCGATAACTACACTAATTATTTTGCAATAAATGTAGCTTAAGTACGGCAATAAAACTTTATTTCCTACCATATCATAAATTATTTCGCTTTATAACTTTAATTAGCATATTTACACTCGGCCGCTGAAATAATTCAGACGACACACGTCTCCCCCAAAGGGGAAAGCAACTGGATTGTGGATGTCTGCGGATTTCGTGGGGATGGAGCCGGAGCTGAAGCACCCACTTTGTCATGTTCTCCGTGCGGGACTGAGTCACCCGGACTTGGGGTTTAATGACTCGAAATAAACGCACACCACACGCTCATTCATCTTTCGTGAGGCGAGTCGTGGAGTGGAGCGGAGTGGCGTCTCCAATAATATAATAATGCCAGCTCTTACTACTCCACCGCGCCATAAATCAGCACCACCAGAACCAGAACCAGAATCTTTGTCTTAGCTCGCACTAACATTTCCTACCTTAAGTGCTTAATCCTTACTACTTAATAATTTTAAACGGCAGCCGCATTTAGATCTTAAGCAATCTTCAAGTTGTATTCTTGCTAAATATCCTAATAGCACTAATTCCCCTAATTTTACCCAGTAAGACTTTGAATAGTTAGCTTAAGACTTAACCCTTCGACTTCTATACTCTCGGCCAAATAATTAATCCACACACATAAATAGTTACTTAATCATAAAACATGTAATTAGATATCTAACGCGTTTGATATATTTGTAGAGGAATTTAAGTATCTGTGATATATGCATATAAACGTACTAAACAAGCAATTAGCTGCGGTCATTTAGTTAATTCACACATACTTCTTTATGAATACAAAACAAAAAATGCACAAGCAACTGGTTCGAGACATTTCTAATGGCATACATTTTGTAATTGTAAATAGTATTTATGTAAATTTGCAAATTTAATGATAAATAAAGTTGAATAATATCATTGAGTGTGTTTTCTCTCTAAGCTTTAAAGTGATTTCTAAATGGTTTTGCAAAGTGGAATGGTATGATTTATTATTATATTGAGAAGTATTTGAGTTGTTAATGGTATAACTTTGAAGAAGTTGGGTAAAACAATATTTAAATTTAAATATTATAACTGCCATAGGATTCTGGATTAGTAACTTTTAAATACCAAGACTTTGCTTTATTAGAAACTGGCTTTCAATACCTTATATCCCTTTTCAAAGTTGTATCATTATTTATTCCTTATGATAAACCATCGAAATCCCTTTGGATTGATAAATATATACCTTCATATTCCCTCATACAAGTATTATAAATAAAATCTTTGCTCTCCGCGACCCACTGAACCTAATTAATCGCAGCGAACATGGGAGCGGTCGCATTTTTTCGAAGAAATATATAGATATAGATACATTCAATCACTCGGGCCTCTTGTGTGCTGTGTGTTAGTGTCGTGTGTCACATCTATAAATGAAAGTAATAAATCGTCGGTGTCGCATTATAATTATCGACCTACCCATAACCGCTCGGCAGCGGAATTCCACGGATTCGGACAATGTCGAGCTCTGTAATTCGGATTGACAGCTGATCCCTTTATAAGTGCCAAGCAAACATAATGATCACAAATGTATATAAATATATATACTGACTGCATATGGAAAGAGTTGCCCCAGTGGCTACCTGTGCGTAACCGTCGTGGCTGTGGAGGAGCAACTTCATTTTATCAGATTGATACACTTCCCCGACTGACATGTGCCTAATTAGTGTGACTCCGTCAACTCCGTTTTCTAAGGAAGCAGATCGAATGGATATACGTTTTAAGATTGTTATGAGTAGGGGGGGAAATATTTTAAAAGAGATCCAAGGGGGCAGTCAAGGTAAGCAGAACATTATACTATATAACCTGAGAATGATTTAGAAACTGTCACAAAATATGATATAGTATGATATATTTTCTAGCAGAGTTACCAATTCTTAATGCATAGCAGAATTGTTTCGGTAAAACAAAAAGGATTTATCTTGCTCAAGGATTAAATTATTTTAAACTTAGATTGTTACAATTGAATGTTAGAAAACAAGGTGAAATCTTTACAAATCAAGATATATTAAAACTCTATTAAATATTTATTTGTACTATTACTTTAAGTATCGATTTTATTCTTTTTAAAATAGGTTTAATAATTTTTGAAATAGTCAAGATGAATTCCCAGAAATTTAATGGAAGATATGATATAAATTTAATTTATTTTTCAACACTCCTTTTTACATAGATTGACTTTTATTTTGTTCAACTTCTTTTGAGACTACTTTTAAACTCATACAGAATTTAGTAAGATATGAAATGCCTTTATTAATTATTCAAAATAACCTCGCTTTATTAAAAAACACCCAATGTAACTGACCATGTGTGAGCTTTAACAACTTGGCCAGAAGTGAGTCACATGCACCACGAGGGACTCATTAAAGCTCCAATTGGGGGTGTCCGGTCGCTGGGAAAAGGACAATTAGATAAATTTTGGAATTTTCAAATTAGCCGCTGCAGAACCGTGGCAGCATCTGCAGTCAATTGCACTCTCTCTGGCAAATGCATTCGGATGCAGTCTGGTCTACAACTGGCCAGCAGAGTCCAGATCATTATGGGCCTGGGCCCAGTTTTGTCGGAGGAGGCTGGCTTTTTCATTTATACGCCGAGTGGAAAATGACAACATTAATTTAGCGCTTTGTTCTGTGAGAGTTGGATTTGAACCAGGCCGGAGCCGGGGCCACATTTTAAATTAACCCAAAACATGTTTAGGGGTTTTCCGCACAATTGCCTTCTCGGTGCAATGTGGCAAAAAGGATTTCGCATTGCCTGCATAAAGGATTGCAGCATCTGATGCCCATTTTGGCTTTCGGGGTGGTGGTTGTAATTGAAAAGTCAAAAACAATTGAATAGGTTTTTTGGCACATGCAAAAGAGTGCAAAACGAGGGCAGGATGCATTTAATTTGGACTTGCATCTTTTTAATTGTCCAACGCTTGTGCTTATTAATTATGGTCTGCTCGTAAATTAATAAAGTAAAAACAATTGAATGCGTTGTGCATGTGTTGGGGTCATTCTTTTTTCAACAAACATTTTCTACTTGTTAACTCAAGTTTTTAATTATTGTAAACCTTTGTTAACCTTTGTTGACCTAAATATTTTTGACACCTCATTCTCAAGTTATTCATGTAAGATTATAAATAAATAGCTTGGAGTTTTCTATAGAACTTTAAAAGATTTTATATTTGCTAAATAGAAAGCCAAACTGGTAGATTTATGTATTCAGAAGCTTCATTAATAATAAAGGTGATTTAGTACAAATATTTCAGGTATTATTTGATACAAAAACATATTAAAACCAGTCTTAAAAAGGTACTTTCTGAAAGTGTTTTGACTATATTGTTTTATTACTCTATAATTGTGTTAACTTTTATCTAAGTTTCCTTAAATCCCGCAAACTCATATAAAAAATTTAAAATATAAATATTGAATTAAATTTCTTTCCGGATAATATGCTTGACCACACGGTTTTCCCCCGCTGCAAATACAATTAATTTAAAATTGAATTGATAAAACATGGCCAGCGGCAGCATTCGGGCTATTGATATATTATAACGGCGCGTGTTTGGGCCTTTTTGTTAAACAAAGAAACTTGTCGCGTTTCCATTTGACAAGACCACATTTGTGTTGTGGGCGTGTGCAGCGAATCCGGGGCTGCAACATGAACAGGTCGGTCGGACGGTCGGTGGCCGGTCTATTGGGGCTTCAGGAGGACGCACACGTAGAACATTATTCGGCTACAAAATGGCCAAAACAACAAACCGCTATAATTTACCATATTTTATGGCTGCGCCGTGGCAATAAAATCGCCAACAAGGCCAATAACTCATTGTAGAGCGCTGGATCGCTGGCGCTGGCGCTGCAGGGCGGCAGTCGGCATTCGGCGGTTGCTGCTAGTTGGTAGTTGCCAGTTGCGAGTTGCAAGTTGCCCCCGCCGCCGGTTACACCGCGACTCGTCCACTGCTGCATCCCCAAGTGCTCCCCTCTGCCCGGCCACTTCCGCGGTTGCACAAATGGCCAAAATGCAACGCTCCCACCGCCACACGTCCGCTTGCACATGTGGTTGGATTTTTTAAACGGCCCAATGCGCCCGCTGATAGAGCCATATAGTAGAGCAATATAGTCAGCATATATACATATATCCGAGGGCCAAATAGTCCAGCTCTAATTTGTATCTCCACAGTGACTCCCACCGCCGACGAGGCTATTTCAAATTTATCTATGCCAAAACCTGCATTGATGGCCTGCATGTTTATTGCCCGCCTGTCGTCGTTTTGCATTTCCAGTTGCCAGTTGCCAGGGGAAAAAAAAGCGTCCGCAAAATTGCCAAACAAAGCTGGACAATTGGCAATGAGCCCCCGCCGTTGCCGTGGGGTACTACATTTAATTAATATATATACATATATATATATGTTCATATATATATATTGTTCAGTTGTGCCTGCCCCAGGACCGCAAGGACATTGGCTGCCGCCGCCTCGATTGCTTATATTTTCGTTCCATGTACAAATAAAATTAAAATGTTTTGTGGCTTTTGCCCAAAGGACGCGTGGCGTCATTTTTTGTTATAACAAAAAGCATACAGAGGGAGAAATATAGATTTAAATAAAAATACATCTCATAACTATTATATTTATAACTATATGCAAAACAAAAATAGTTTTTGATTGAAAATATAATAGAGATGTCAATTAATAATTATTCTCATTCACACAAAATAGTATTGAATTCATCAGAATTTATTCAAAAGGATTCGGGATTATTTGAACCCTGAACAACAAATATATATCTTTTAAAGTTAAATAGTTTATTATATCTTTGTAATTTTTAGATAGAAAAAGGGATTTAATGTTCTATCGAATTGATTTAACCATTTAAAAAAAGTCTGTGATTTAGATTGTATTAAAAATACACAGAAAGATATTAAGATCAAAGACAAACAGACATAAGTGTTTTATTGTACAATGTTTCATTTTACAATATTTGGAAATATTAATCTTATTCATACGCATCCATATCTCTCACTAACACAAAACTA